CCCTATTCCCGGCGGGACTCAGGGCGGCGCACAAACCCAAGGGAAAGGGAAACACAAAAAACTACTATATTCCCCCTCTCCCCCCCCCCCGGGGGATGGGGACCCGACTTCAAAATAGGCAGACGAGAAATGAAGAAAATTAAAATCCGGCGCAATTTGGAGGCAGAAAAGGAGGGCTGCCTTGCGAAGGTCCCCGGTTTGAATTGAATCGACTCAGAATAGAGTTGGAAGGGACCTTGGAGGTCGTCTAGTCCAGCCCCCTGCTCAAGCAGGAGATCCTATATCATTTCAGACAAGTGGCTGCCCAGTCTCTTCTTTGGCCCTAAGCAAAGTTGGTGGGGGAGGGAGGATCCTTCCTTGAAAGCTTGCAGAAAGCCCTTGCTTAGGGGTTGAGCAGCTCTTCTTAGAGTCCGATTTGTGACTTCATGCAGACCTCCCACACTGGTTTTCCTGGCAACAGGACGGAAATAACTTGCTCTTCACCCTTTTAGGGAGATAGTTTTGCTTTCCAAGTTGCGTTTAGGCCCTTGAAATTTTCTGGTGGCTTCCGGTCTGAGGGACCAACTAAACCTTAATCTTGTCTAGTTTTTCAGAATTAAGTAAGGTTAGCTCGATAGTGTTAAGCTGGCTGAAAGAGTAATGAATTCAGCTGAAATACTTTTGTTAAATTTGGTCCTGGGGGTGTGTGTGTGTCAATAGAATAGAATGGGTCAGGAGGAGAAAGAAGAGAAGAAAGAATAGAAAAAAGAGAAGAGAAAGTGGAAGAAAATAGAATATTTGGCCAAGTGTGATTAGACACACAAAGAATTTGTCTCTGGTGCAGGAGCTCTTGCCTAACATGTAAAGCAACAGAGTAGTAAGAATCATAATAGTGTCAATGAGGGAATAATAAAGAAGGATACTAATAATACAGCCATAGAACGTGGCTACATAGATACATACACTATATTGCCAAAGGGATTCGTGCACCCATCCACATAATCAGAAGCAGTTGTGAGTGAATACTTTTGGCAATATAGTGTATATAGATAATGACAGTATGGGAGAATTGTCCCTGTGTCTAGTTGTATTTGCATCCAATGCCCTGCAGCTGCCTCCCAAGGGGAGGAGTTTGTGTTCAGAATGTGAGGGGGCTGTAGATACACAGCCCTCCTTCTGACCTGAACCATATACAGGTCTTCTATGGAAAGCAGGCTGGTTGTAGTTGTTTTTTCTGCAGTCCTAACTATCTGCTAGAATCTGTACCAGGGGTGGGTTTCAACCGGTTCGCGGCGGTCCCTGCGAACCAGTTGGTCGGCAAACCTGGAAGTAAGTAACTTCCGGGAACGGCGAAGGGCTGACCCGCCCACGCTCCTTACCCGGTTTTGACGAGTTCTGCGCTTCCACACATGCGCAGGACGCATACAGCGCCTGC